GCTTTCCCAGCTAACCACACATTTCTACCTGCATGCCTGAGCTAAAGGCAGATGGATTCCAGGAAGCAAATGCTATTTGAATCTTCTGCCCTTGCCCAAGATGTCCACAGCCAGAAGAGCTAGGGGTTGTCTTTCTCAGCGATTTCTCATCAAAATAAAGCACGGAGACATGGAAGGATGGGGGAGTTTGCTCTGAATATTAAAAATGAATTAAACTGCCTGGGGTGCCCAGATGCAGTGCAGTTCCACTTTAAGATAGCTATGTTTTTTTTATTTTTATTTCCTGTCTGCGCATATAGGTATCAGAATACTGGGATGATGATACGCAGTGATGTCCCCCCTCCATATGAAGCATTATAGCGCCGTGTTATCTTTATTTCTATCTGCTAAAATAAACAGAAAATGAGCCGCAATTCTGTGACACGATGAACCCCGTGTGTATGCAGTCTCCTTCAGCCCGCTCATACACAGGAACATCGGAACACAATGGACCGAAAATCTAGGATGCAACCAGAATGTCCTCTGTACAGCCAAATCAAAGACAAATTAACTTGATTAATCCCATGAAAGTGGAATACTAGAATGTATCTCATCGTAAAACTGCCCCCATGATTGCACAATGCTACAAAATGTTACTTGTGTGACTCACTCTGTAAGTAGCCATTTGTTCCATCTGTTTAGCAGTCATTTGTTACACCTTGGGATTTATTCCCTGCTACTAAACAACCTCCTGTGTGGCTCTAGCCGCCTATAGAATACACAAAGAGTGGAGCGGACTGCCGTATATTTCTTGCTGGATTCCTGGCCTGTACATCAAGTACCATTCCTGCAGGACTGGCAGCTGAGGGAACAAACTCACATCTGTTCTAACACTCTCCTCTGCAATCACAGATCCCAGCAGATCTCACCCCCCTCTAGCTGCTGGAGGGGACGGCCTGACTCATCGCAGCAGAAAGTCTGTCACTCTTCTCAGCTAAAGTGCCTCATTCTTCAGCAGTGCAATGCAATGATCAGGAATGAACTAAAGAAAAAAAAATGTTTGAAAAATCTAAACCTTAGGGAGGTTGGACTGTGGCCAGTGGGAGGAATTATCTCCCCTTGTTGGTGTCATTGGAGAAATTGTGCCACGTTACAGATGTCAATAAGAGGAATATTGGTGTTAGTAAATAGCAGCCCATCATCGGTGTCAGTGGGAGGAATAATGTCCCCATATTTGTGCTAGTGGGAGGAATTATCCCCCCTTGTTGGTGTCAAAGGGAGAAATAGTGACCCAATATTGGTGTCGAAGGGAGAAATATTGACCCAATATTGGTGTCAGTGGAAAGAATAGTTCCGCATATTCTGTGTCTGTGGAAGGAATGGTGACTTAATATTGGTGTCAGTGGAAGGAATAGTGCCCCAATATTGAGGTTAATGGGAGGAATAGTGCCTGAATATTGGGGTTCATGGAACAGGACTTCATCATTGGCATAAGTTGGAAGACTAGTCTTATTCTTGGTGTCAGTGGACGTAACAATGATCCAATATTGTTAGTGGGAGGAACAGTGGGCCATCACTGATGCCATCTGGAGAAACAGTGCTCAATTACGTGTGTCAATGGGAGGAATAGTGCCCCACTTTTGGTGTTAGTGACAGGAAATGTGCCATATTGTAGGTGTCAATGGGAGGACTAGTACTCCCAATACCGGTGTTAGTGAAATAAAACCCCACTGTCAGTGGGAGGCGCCGGGCCTCCTTGCCGGTGTCAGTGGGAGGCGCCGGGCCTCCTTGCCGGTGTCAGTGGGAGGCGCCGGGCCTCCTTGCCGGTGTCAGTGGGAGGCGCCGGGCCTCCTTGCCGGTGTCAGTGTCAGTGGGAGGCGCCGGGCCTCCTTGCCGGTGTCAGTGGGAGGCGCCGGGCCTCCTTGCCGGTGTCAGTGGGAGGCGCCGGGCCTCCTTGCCGGTGTCAGTGGGAGGCGCCGGGCCTCCTTGCCGGTGTCAGTGGGAGGCGCCGGGCCTCCTTGCCGGTGTCAGTGGGAGGCGCCGGGCCTCCTTGCCGGTGTCAGTGGGAGGCGCCGGGCCTCCTTGCCGGTGTCAGTGGCAAGAACAGTGCCTCATTGTTGGTTTTAGTGGAATAGTGCCACATCATCGTCAGTGGGAGGAACAGTATCCCATCATTGATTTTAGCAGGAGGAATAGTGCCCTAAGGGGCAGTTAAAGTTAACCAGAGAACCACATCCATCTAACCAAACTAAAACTATTAAACCAAAAGTAAAAACACAAATTAATAAACCAATAAAAATACACCTCTACTTCCTAGATTGTAAGCTCCCAGGATCAGGCCATCCTACCCCTCTTGTATTGAACTGTATTGTTGCTGTATTGTCTCCCGGTATATTGTAAAGTCTGAGCAAACTGTTGGCGCCATATAAATCCTGTATAATAATAATACTTCCTAATACAAAAGTCTGAAAGCCAGGAAGAGCCATGCGGATGAGGCACAGCCCGGCACACAAGGAGTCCTTCTCTTTAACATTTCAATGAAACCTGAGCCCAGCCAGGCCAGAATCAGGTTTCAAAACACAGGCAGTCCGCTCCCGCCATGCTTCTCCTCCAGGATCCCAGTCAATGATTGACTCTGTCACTATCACACCCCGTGCCGGACAACCGGCCTCATCTATGGCAAAATGTAGTCCTGTAGTTATAGTGCAGAACAATGAAGGAGAGGTGTGGGGGAGAGGAGCGCGGGGGAGTATGTGGGGGGAAAGGGGAGAGAAGCGCGGGGGAGTATGTGGGGGAGAGGAGCGCGGGAGAGTATGTGGGGGAGAGGGGAGAAGAGGAGGGGGGAGAGGGGAGAAGAGGAGGGGGGAGAGGGGCGCGGGAGAGTATGTGGGGTATAGGAGGGGGGGGAGCAAAGAAGGTGAGGGGGGAGTCAAGAATGGAGAAGATCAAGGGTGTATGGAGGGGAGGGGAGCAGAGGAGTAAAGGGGAGCTTGGGGTGGAAAGGAGTATGGAGTACAGTGGAGGGGGGGAGGAAGAGTACAGTGGGGGGGAGGGGGGGGGGGAGGAAGAGTACAGTAGAGGTAGAGAGGGGGGGGGGGGGGGGGAAAGAGTACAGTAGAGGTAGAGAGGGGGAGGGGGGGGGGGAAAGGAGTACAGTAGAGGTAGAGAGGGGGAGGGGGGGGGAAAGGAGTACAGTAGAGGTAGAGAGGGGGAGGGGGGGGGGATAGAAAGGAGTACAGTAGAGGTAGAGAGGGGGAGGGGGGGGGGAAAGGAGTACAGTAGAGGTAGAGAGGGGGAGGGGGGGGGGGAAAAGAGTACAGTAGAGGTAGAGAGGGGGAAAGAGTACAGTAGAGGAGAGAGGGGGGGGGGGGGGGGGGGGAAGAAAAAGAGTACAGTAGAGGTAGAGAGGGGGAGGGGGGGGAAGAGTACAGTAGAGGTAGAGAGGGGGAGGGGGGGGGGGGAAGAGTACAGTAGAGGTAGAGAGGGGGAGGGGGGGGGGAAAAGAGTACAGTAGAGGTAGAGAGGGGGAGGGGGGGGGGAAAAGAGTACAGTAGAGGTAGAGAGAGGGGGGGGGGGGGGGGGGGGGGAAAAGAGTACAGTAGAGGTAGAGAGGGGAGGGGGGGGGGGAAAAGAGTACAGTAGAGGTAGAGAGGGGGAGGGGGGGGGAAAAGAGTACAGTAGAGGTAGAGAGGGGGGGGGGGGGGGAAAAGAGTACAGTAGAGGTAGAGAGGGGGAGGGGGGGGGGGGGGGGAAAGAGTACAGTAGAGGTAGAGAGGGGGAGGGGGGGGGGAAAAGAGTACAGTAGGTAGTAGAGAGGGGGAGGGGGGGGAAAAGAGTACAGTAGAGGTAGAGAGGGGGAGGGGGGGGAAAAGAGTACAGTAGAGGTAGAGAGGGGGAGGGGGGGGAAAAGAGTACAGTAGAGGTAGAGAGGGAGGGGGGGGAAAAGAGTACAGTAGAGGTAGAGAAGGGGAGGGGAAAAGAGTACAGTGGGGGGGGGGGGGGGGGGGAAAGAGTACAGTGGGGGGGGGGGAAAGAGTACAGTGGGGGGGGGGGGAAAGAGTACAGTGGGGGGGGAAAGAGTACAGTGGGGGGGGGAAAGAGTACAGTGGGGGGGGGGAAAAGAGTACAGTGGGGGGGGGGAAAGAGTACAGGGGGGGGGGGGGAAAGAGTACAGGGGGGGGGGAAAGAGTACAGGGGGGGGGGGGGGGAAAAAGAGTACAGGGGGGGGGGGGGGGAAAGAGTACAGGGGGGGGGGGAAAAGAGTACAGGGGGGGGGGAAAGAGTACAGGGGGGGGGGAAAGAGTACAGGGGGGGGGGAAAGAGAAGGGAGAGTACAGGGGGGGGGGAAAAGAGTACAGGGGGGGGGAAAGAGTACAGGGGGGGGGAAAGAGTACAGGGGGGGGGAAAGAGTACAGGGGGGGGAAGAGTACAGGGGGGGGAGAATACAGTGGGGGGGGGGAGAGTACAGTGGGGGGGGGGGGAGAGTACAGTGGGGGGGGGGAGGAGAGTACAGCGCAGTGGGGGGGGGGGAGAGTACAGTGGGGGGGGGGGGTTAGAGGTGTCCGAAGGAGTACAGGGGGAAAAAAGTACAGTGGGGGGGGGTAGAGGAGTATTGGGGGGGGGTAGGGGGTGTCCGGAGTACAGGGGGTATAGTACAGTGGTGAGGGGGGGGTAGAGGAGTATGGGGGGGGGGAGTTGGAGTAGGGGTGTCCGGAGGAGTACAGTGGTGGGGGGGGGTAGAGGAGTATGGGGGGGGGGGGGGGGGAGTAGGGGTGTCCGGAGGAGTACAGTGGTGGGGGGGGGGGGGGAGTAAGGGTGTCCGGAGGAGTACAGTGGTGGGGGGGGGTAGAGGAGTATGGGGGGGGGGAGGTAGGGGTGTCCGAAGGAGTACAGTGGTGAGGGGGGGTAGAGGAGTATGGGGGGGGGGGAGGTAGGGGTGTCCGGAGGAGTACAGGGAAGTAGAGAAGAGTACGGCGGAGTAGAAGAGCCCCCCTCGGTCCGTGGTCCCCCTCCGGTCTCACCTCTTGGAGTGCGCCTCGGACGGGTTGCGGTCCCGCTGGCGGCGGTTCTTGAACCAGTTGCTGACCTGGGTGAGGGAGAGGCCGGTGATCTTGGCCAGGTTCCTCTTGGCGGCGGGGGACGGGTAGCGGTTGTGTTTGTAGAGCTCTTTGAGGGCGTTGCGGGACTTCTCCTTGAAGCAGTAGACGGTCTCCTCTCCGTCCCAGATGGTGCGGGGGAGAGGGAACTTCCTGCGGAGCCGGTACTTGTCCACCGCCCCAGCGGTCTGCCCCGGGCCCGCTCCGCCTCGTTGTAGCGCGCCTTGTACCACAGGTCCTGGAGGGCGGCGTGGTTGGCCGCCTCGAAGTTGTGGCTCTCCAGGACGGAGAAGAGCTCCTGGTAGCGGCCCTGATGGAAGGCCACCAGCGCCCGGGCTTTCAGGATGCTCTCGTTGCCACGTAGCAGCTCGCTCTGGGGCAGAGACCACAGGAACCGGGCCAGCCTGTCCAGGTCGCCGCCTTGCTGCAGAGCCTCGCACACACAGGCGACGTGCTCCGGGGAGAAGGCCAGCGTGTACAGGGCCACCTCGCTCTTCACCGCCTCCTCCTCCGCCGCCGGCCCGGGCTCCATGGAGAACGCGGCGCCGTCCAGGACATCCTCCTTCTTGATCTCTATCCCGTTGGAAGGGGAAGACATTTTCCCTCCTCGCCCCCCTTCTCTGACAAAAAAAAAAGAAAAGTCCTCCCCTCCGTCGATCAGGTTTCCATCGGCAGCGCGGCGATCATTAGGAGCTCCTCTCCTCTGCTTTACTCTTTTTTTTTTTCCGAAGTGTAAAACGGAGAGCAACGTGACTTCTCCACAACTGCAAAACTCTGCCAGCGACGTCCCGGCCCCGGAGCTGGGAGCACCATTGGGGGACTGGGGGCGGGGCCTGTGCTGTGCAAGACCGGCCGTCGTCCTGGCAACCGTCACTCAAAGTACACCCCCACCTATCCCGCACGCTGCACACACCTCCACCTGGACGGATAACGTTTCCCGCACACAGTACACCTCCGGAGAGACCCGGACCGAGAACATTTCCCGCACACAGTACACCTCCACCTGGACGGAGAACATTTCCCGCACATCTCAGCCTAGTCCACTGAAGTCGGAACTTTATCAAGTCTGACCGAGAACTCAGGAGGGCCGGACGGGGGGATCGCTGCTCCTCACAACAAACAGACCATGTAGCACTGAGGTCCCTGGTTCAAATCCAGATTAGGACACCATCTGCATGGAGGTTGCATGGAGCTCCTCTGGGTTGTCCAGTGTCTTCCCGCACCCAAAAGACATGCTGCTGGGTTAAAAGTGGATCTTCACCCCTAAAAACCAAGTTCCTTGCACCTGGTTCCAGCCCCCTCCTCTCCCATACCTCCATCTAGAGAACCAATCAGTCATGACTCTATGGCCACCCACCTAATATTCAGTTGGGCCCCCTGAGCCGCCCAGGCATGGACACCACTAGACCTAGATCTCTGTCAGGCAGAAAATGGCGGCTCAACAATGGCTGGGAACACCCGGGAGCGCTGACGTCACCCATAGGCTCCCATGGCCCATCTGTCCTCGGGGCTCCCTCCTCTCCCCTCCAGTCACCACTGACTGGCACAGGGGAGATGGATCAGCTGACCGGAGTGGCCTGAAACTAGGTAAGTATATAGACTGATCAGCCATGACTCAGTCTGTCCTGTCCAGGCATGGACACCACTGGACCTCTGATGGTAGGCTGTGGTATCTGGCACCAAGCCGTCAGGACATCTAAAGTCCCAAAAAGCTGGCCATACATTCACCAAATTTCTGGGCTCCCCATCAACACACTCATTGTTGGTGGAATCCCTCCACAGTGGTATTGTGTCCTGACATCGGGAGGTTTCCCCCCAGCAGAATACAATGATCACTACTACTATAGGCACCAGCAACAATCATACAAAAAAAAAAACCCATAGGTTTGTTGTACTGAAATCAATAGAAAGGTCGACTTCAGTACACCCAGCATGCCCTTACATGGACGGAAATTCGTCCAATTCCTGCTGAACTGCTGAATTTCAATCTGTCTATGGCTGGCTTGTTGTCAAGTGTGTCCTCCATGGATCGGACTTGTTTTTCCAGCAGATCCCATAGATGTTTGATTGAACTGAGATCTGGAGAATTTGGAAGCCAACACCTCAAAAACCCCTTCTGCCATTGCTCTGTGATCCAGGTCTGATGCCCACGTACCCATTGTAAGCACTTTTGGCTGTGGACACGGGTCAGCCTGGATACCCTAACCGGTCTGCAGCTACAAGCCCCATACCCAATAACCCTAGGTTCACGCCTAAGCCTAGGTTCACAAGTAAGCCTAGGTTCACAAGTAAGCCTAGGTTCACAGGAAAGTCTAGGTTCACAGGAAAGCCTAGGTTCACAGGTAAGCCTAGGTTCACAGGTAAGCCTAGGTTCACAGGTAAGCCTAGGTTCACAGGTAAGCCTAGGTTCACAAGTAAGCCTAGGTTCACAGGTAAGCCTAGGTTCACAGGTAAGCCTAGGTTCACAGGTAAGCCTAGGTTCACGCCTAAGTCTAGGTTCGCAGGTAAGTCTAGGTTCACAGGTAAGTCTAGGTTCACGCCTAAGCCTAGGTTCACAGGAAAGCCTAGGTTCACAGGAAAGTCTAGGTTCACAGGTAAGCCCAGGTTCACGCCTAAGTCTAGGTTCACAGGTAAGCCCAGGTTCACGCCTAAGTCTAGGTTCACAGGAAAGTCTAGGTTCACAGGAAAGTCTAGGTTCACAGGAAAGTCTAGGTTCACAGGAAAGTCTAGGTTCACAGGAAAGTCTAGGTTCACAGGTAAGTCTAGGTTCACAGGTAAGTCTAGGTTCACGCCTAAGCCTAGGTTCACAGGAAAGTCTAGGTTCACAGGTAAGCCCAGGTTCACGCCTAAGTCTAGGTTCACAGGTAAGCCTAGGTTCATGCCTAAGTCTAGGTTCACAGGAAAGTCTAGGTTCACAGGAAAGTCTAGGTTCACAGGAAAGTCTAGGTTCACAGGAAAGTCTAGGTTCACAGGAAAGTCTAGGTTCACAGGTAAGTCTAGGTTCACAGGTAAGCCTAGGTTCACGCCTAAGTCTAGGTTCGCAGGTAAGTCTAGGTTCACGCCTAAGTCTAGGTTCACGCCTAAGTCTAGGTTCACAGGTAAATCTAGGTTCACAGGTAAGTCTAGGTTCACGCCTAAGTCTAGGTTCACGCCTAAGTCTAGGTTCACGCCTAAGCAGGTTGCATTTGAGCCGTTTCTGCATTGCTTTTTTGCACTTGCGTTTTTATGTGTTTTTTTTTTCCTTTTTTTTTTTTATTTTCTTGTTGCTAGGCAGATCAAAAACGTGGCATAAACATATCTAAATGCAGCAAAAACATAATACATGCTTTTCTGCAGCATTTCCATTGAAGTCTATAGAACCAAAAACGCAACTTTTTGCTTTCAGAAAAGTCCCTGACCCTTTCCAAAAAAATGCACCGGTTGAAAATGCGCATACGTGTCCCATAGGAAATCGTGTTAAATGGGCTGTACTGCGTTTCTGGAAAACGCTGTAAAAAACGCTTTAGTGTGAACCCTCATTGGCAGAGAAAGCAGTAGGGAGTCATTGGCTCCCACTGCTGTCAATTTCTGCTAGTGAGCCAATGAGGAGAGAGCAGGGGGTGGGCTGAGCCATGGTTTTATGTGTCTTATGGACACATAAAGTGGGGATTAAGAGTGAGCATGTAGTGCCCTCATAGCAAATGGCTGGCTATTGGGGGCACTGGTCAAGAAAGAGGAACCGGGAGGGCTGGTGGGAGACCCAAAAAGAAAAGGATCAGGGCTGCTCTGTGCAAAACCACAGAACACTTAAGTATAACATGTTTGCTATTAGTATTATGTTTTTTTTTATGAACCTTTAACCACTTGCTGACCACGCTGTAGCCGAATGACGGCTACAACATGGTCATCCAGTTCTGGGAGGGTGTCCTATGACGCACCCAGCACTCTCTGTGATTTCTGTGTCCTGCAAACACAGCTGATCACATGGCACAGTAAAGGGCCAATCACAGCGGCCCTTTACCATGTGAACAGCTGTGTCCAATCACAGCTGATCATGATGTAAACACACTTGCTGGTTATCAGCAGTACTTTCCTCATGCTGTCACAGCGTGAGGAAAGTACTGCTGATAACCTGCAAATGTGAAAGGAGACATCTACACTGATTATCAGTGCAACCCCAATAGTGCCCATCAGAGCTGACAGTCAGGGCCCAGCAGTGATGCCAGTCAGTGTCACCTATCAGAGCCCTTTAGTTCCACATATCAGTGCTGCCTCATCATTGCAGCCTCTCAGTGCCCATCAGTTCAGCATCATTAGGGCACATCAATGAAGGAAACAAATTACCTGTTTGCAAAATTTTATAATAGAAACTAAAAAAAAAGTTTTTGTTTTTCCAAAATGTTTGGTCTTTTTTTCATTTGCTTAGCAGAAAATAAAACAGCCAGTGGTGATTAACCACTTGCCTGCCACCCCATAGCAGAAATACTGCTAAAGGGCTGCAGGGCTGTGCAAAATCACACACACATATACACCGGGTCCCAGCCAGAGATTCCCCACTGGCACCTTGCGATCGCCAAGTATCACTAATGGGGGAGAGGTGTGTATGTAACTGGTACAGATCTCTGCCTTGTCAGCACCGACATGCTGCTTTGTATTTTTTTTCTGCATAGTAGAGCAATACAGAGCAGCATGCCTCTTTAGTACAGCACACAGTAAAACAGCACACAGTTAACCCTTTGATCGCCCCAGATGTTAACCCCTTCCTGCCCAGTGTCATTAATACAGTGTCAGTGCTTTTTTTTAGCTCACTGTAGATCACTGTATTAGTGTCACTGGGGATGTCAATTAGTCATTTCCCCCCCAGTGTCAGAATGCCGGCCGCAGTCCCGATATAAGTCGATGACTTATTAAATAATTTAATAAGATTCCAGGATATATACAGCCATTTGTAAACGCTATAACTTTCACATAAACCAATTAATTTACACATATTGGGATTTTTTTTTAGCAAAGACATGTAGCAGAATATATTTTAGCCTAAATTTATGCCGAAATTTGATTTTTAAAATTTTTTTACTGGACATGTTTAATAGCAAAAAGTCAAAAATATTGTTTTTTTTTTCCTCAACATTGTCGGTCTTTTTTTGTTTATAGCGCAAGAAATAAAAAAATGCACAGGCGATCAAATACCACCGAAAGAAAGCTCTTTTTGTGGGGAAAAAAAGACATAAATTTCATTTGGGTTTCAGCGTTGCATGATCGCACAGTTGCCAATTAAAGTAACGCAGTGCCTTATGGCGATAAATGGCGTGGTCAGGAAGGGGGGTAAATCCTCAGGAGGGCAAGTGGTTAAATACCACCAAAAGAAAGCTCTGTTTGTGTGAAAAAAATAAAAATTTCATATGGGTACAGTGTTGCATGACTGCTCAATTGTCATTCAAAGTGTGAGAGCACTGAAAGCTGAAAATTGGCATGGGCAGGAAGGGGGTAAAAGTGCCCGGTAGGCAATTGGTTAATACCACTTTAACTTTTTCAGCAATTTGAGCTACAGTAGCCCTTCTATTGGATTGGACTACACAGGCCAGTCTTTGCTCCCCATGAACATCAATGAGCCTTG